GAACCCAGGGCCTCAGGCATGCAAGGCAAGCACTCTACCACTGAGCCACCTTCCCAGCCCCTCCTTGAGACTCTTATCTCCAATAAGCCACTAGAAAACAAGAAGTAGTGTTGTGGCTCCAGCAGTGGAGTGCTTGCCTTGAGCTGAAAAGCGCAGAGACAGCGCCTAAGCCCAGAGTTCAGGCCCCACGACTGACCAAAAAAATATTTAAAAACTTACTAGTGAAGTGCTAGTAGAGTTACAGAAGCCTCTGTTCTGGTATAAGATTTCATGGCAGATCTCACCTTGCCATAACATCTTAAACAGGTAAGTTAGTGTAAGTAGGGAACATTGTTAGTGTTCTGTTATCACTGAGTTTGCAAAAACAGGGAACATAATAGTTGTGTGGCTTAAAGTACCCTGGTCAAATTATTTTTATATACAAGCTTCCAATCAGGTTCTCTGAATCTAAAGATACGTCTGAAATTTCTCCAAACTGCTGAGAAAATGGTCGACAATTCTTGCTCTTCAAAATGTTTTCCAGTGATTTTTAAAAAAGCACAAAATAGGTGGGCACTGGTGACTGAGGCCTGTAATCGTACTCGGGAGGAGGCTGAAATCTGAGGACTTCATTGAAATAACCTCAGTGACTTTTTATTTTGGTGCTAGTCCTGGGGCTTGCACTCAGCAAGTGGGCGCTGTCTCTTAAGCTTTTCTGCTCAAGGCTAGTGCTCTACCATTTGAACCACAGTATCACTTCTGGTTTTCTGGTAGTTAATTGGAGGTAAGAGTCTCAAGGACTTTCCTGCCCATGCTGGCTTTGAATTGCGACCCTCAGATCTCAGCCTGGAGTAGCTAGGGTTACAGGAGTGTGCCCAGCCACATAAAACTAAGTAGAACCAATGTTTCTTAAAGTTCTTGGTGATTATAAAAGTGTTAAGAACTCTGTCTGTGAATCACACTATGAGCAAAATTTGAAAATTAAAAAATGGCAACTGTTGCCAGGTGCCAGTGGCTCACATCTGTAATCCTAAATTACTCAGGAGGCTGAGATCTTTAGATCAAGGTTCAGAGTAAGCTTGGGTAGTAAAGTCTCTGAGACTCTGATCTCCAGGTGACTACCAAAAATCCAGATGTGGCTCAGGTGGCAGACTGCTAGCCTTTGGCAAAACTGCATAGGGACAGCTCTCAGGCCAAGTTCAAGCCCCATTACCTGCATGAACTAAAAAACAAAACAACAACAACAAAAAAAAACAACAGGTAACTGTGCTTAAGAAAACAAAACAGACATCCCTGGTTAGAACAAAAATTAAAAATACTACCTTTATCCTCATCAGCTTACTATATCTCTAAGCAGCAGTTAATTAAGAAGTTATTCCCTTAGCAAACCAAAATTCCTTCACTTGTTTTAGAAAGTAGCAAGAATAATTTACTAAGTTTGATAGAAAAAAATTTTTAATCAAAAGAAGTTCACACAATACTATGGCTTAACTAGAGTTTCTGCAAAACAGTAGTTCTGTTGTAAGATCTTTCAAAGGCATAACTCCAATTTTACCAATTCAAAGTTTTGGTGCCAATGAAAACAATTATTCTCGAAGTAAAGCATAATAAATGCCACAAACATTTCTCATATAGTTTCAAAATAAGAACTTAATATCCGAAGTATTTTAGATATGCCATTCTTTAATCTTAAATTTTGTAATAACATTGGTTCACTGTGCTTGAGTCCATATACATAAATATAATGTACTACCTTAGAGTAATCTTTCTACCTTTTGTGATCCTTACATGTATAAAAATTAAATACCAATTCCCTTTTAATATAGCCATGCTTTCAATAGGTTACTTTCCTAACATAGCACTTTTATTAACCACCTCGGCATTAGGGATTGCCTTTTTTCCAATTAAAAATTACTTTGTGACTTCCGTAATGAGTGTTTTTTTTTTTGAATTAGTAACTTAAAAGGATATTTTCAAAAAAAAAAAAAACTTCTTTCATTTTCTGTTGTTACTATTGCTTGTGGAAAAGATCTTAAGATAGTTGAACTCTAAAGCCAGATTCATCCCTATATGTACCCCGTTGGTTCTGTCAGGAATTTATGTGATATCACTGAATGCCTAGCCACAGAACTAAACTACCTTCAAAAGTTAACTTGAGGAGTCATACAAAAAGGTATACAGACCACACATTGCTACCAAAGCAGGGAATGTAAACTGAGATTAAAATTAACTTTTGATAAAGGAGAGACTGAGTACTTGTATAGAAGTAACATTTTATCCAACCATAAAAATGCTCAACTTCTACAAAACTCACACAGTGAAAAGACAGTCTGATAAATCCAAGTTCGTAAAAACGCCACAAAACCCATCATATATGGGAAAAGAGGAAAGATTTATACAAGTAGCAGTTTAAAAATGTAACCTTGTTCTACTATCAATTACACATGAACATAGACACGCTAATTGAAAATATGCTACAACCATGTCTGGAAAGGCAGTTTAGCATTTTCTAAGTGGATTTCACACACACACACACACACACACACACACACACACACACATTTACTGTATAATGTAGTTGTTAATACTGCACAAGTACAATTAGCAATAATGTTCAATTACTTTTAAACAAAGATAAAGGGATCTTCTCCCTCAAAACTTAAGTATTAAACATCAAAACCTATGCTTACAAAATTAAAAACTTTCAGCAGTCTAAATATTTCAAATGAAAACTATTACAAACTTCTCATATGTTCTTTATAGTCCAGGTCAACCTAGTTATCTAGTGTGGAATCCTTGAGCGATATTTCAGTCTCTCTCTCTTCTCCAGATGGCCTAAAGGAGGGGAAAAGGTGTAAAAACTCCTTTAAAATCTATTAAATATGAGCCTTCTATTTTCAAAATCATGAAAAGAAACCCTTGTTCAAAATTTTATTTTACTGTGTTGTATCTTCCCAAATTATTACACAGATCAAGTAAAATAACAAGAAAAGTATCATGCTTTTTAATGGATCTATGCTATCAATATCAATAAAATGGGAGAAATATAGAAAGAGATTTCCCCTATTTTCAGAATTAGAAGATACTAAATTTCAAATACTTGAACAAAACTAAGATTACAGTTTACATAACTAAATAGCTAGTTATTTAGGGTAGGATTACAGTATAAAACAGTTGTTAGTTCTTAATATATTTTCCTCACAATTCAGCGAACTATGAAAGTTTCAATTTTTTTTT